GGTGGGGGCCACCAGGTCCGCCGGCTCGACGACGCCCGCGTCGCCCGCGCCTGCCCCCTCACTCTTATCCGCAATTGCGGGGTGCTACGTATACACATCCATTGCAACTTTAAAGTCTGCGACTCTTGCAATGCTGTACGCGCCACTAGGTGACAAAGTGTTCCGTACAAGAAAACGTTATTTCGCATCTTCATACTGAAGAACCACAAGGTACATGATTCGGGTGAGCATGCCGCACCATGTTCCACTTCAGCTTGGACTGCAAAGACTTGATCTCGCGCGTCTCCCGTGCCATCTGCTGCAAGATCGTCTGGTGCTCCTCGCGCGATGCGGCGAACAAGATACGGGCAGGGGCTGGAAGCAAAAACAAATACGATCGCCCCTAATGACCCAGCTGTGAACTCAGCCCCAAATGAGCCAAGAAATGCTGGTGACCTGCCCCGTCTTCTTGCAGGGACCCTCGCCAAGCCGACAAGGTTTGAGCTTTCGCAGCCCCTCTGGCGCGTCACGCCCTGGACTTGCCAGGTCAGGCCTGGGCCAGGCTTGGCCTGCATCCAGTGCGCCCGTGCTGGCCTGGCCATGAAGTCGCGCGAACCGATGCTGGACCTCAGCGTGCTCAGCGAGCTCGTCTGTGCCGCTGGCCGCTGACACCCGGGGGGCCTCTGCGCGGCCCTCCTCTCCCCTCCGAGCTTCCCAGGCACATGTTCTCCCAACTCGAACGTGTTTGTTTTCTTCTGGCGTCCCTGGGAACTCTCGGGCCTCGGGACCATCACAAGTGGATCCGGGACGAGGTGCATTCCCCTGCGGACGTGTCTCGGGCCAGATCCAGGGGCCCGAGACTTCGATCGCACTTGCGTGTCCCAGTCCGCGGGCCGCATCTGGCCACCGCTCGGACGTCCATTCGCTGTGCTTTGTTGGTTCCGTGCGTGTTTTTTTTCCGCAGGATGATCCAGGATGCTCCTTAATAATCCCCGCCGAAAGAAAATGCACGTCCGAGCGATACCAAGGCATGGGTCGAGGCCCCTGGGGCCCTCGGGCAGAGAAGGGCAGATCCGTGCAATTGTGGGCTTGAAGCGCGCGGCGGAATCGCAACCGAAGGCCCCAGGGCCACTGGCTCAGCAGGGCAGAAGAGGGGCCGAGTGTGGATGGAGGGAGGAAGGGAGAACAGTTTGGCGACCACGCGCGCCAGAACGCAGAGCCGGGAGAAGAGACTGAGGCTTTGTCGCCATGCATCCTCAGGCCCATTCTGGGCCAGATTTTGTTATCGTTTCGCCGAGATACACTGCAGGACAAGGCCAAAACCGGGCCCGTGGAGTTCCAGCGGCGGTGCACAGGTCGTTCTTTGCCTAACCAGCTCCACGCGCCTTCACTGAGGGGCGCCAGCCTTGGCAATCCGCCGCGACGCCCTACGGCCGAGCACATGGACAGTCATTAGGCCTTTCGATGGAATGTTGTGCCCAGGCTGTACCTACCTGGCCACCCCGACCCAAGGCTGAAGCGATACAAGATCTGTCCTCATGCTCCTCCTTGTCCTCGCACCTCACCCGTCCTCATCCATCTTCCCTCTACATCCCATCTCTCCCCAACCTCACCCGCCCGTCCCCCGTCTCCCTCATCCTTTACTCTTCCTCCACGGCTGGTGCCCTAGGGGCCCTCGGCCTGTGCGGAGGGCTGCGGGACCGTGACGGCGGGAATCCCGCGCCCTCCTCCTTTTCCCCTGCCCGCCAGCCCTCATCCGAATCGGATGTTGCGCCTCGGCCTGATCCCTGATCCCCCTCCTCCTCCTCCTTCTCCTCCTCCTCCTCCTCCTCCTCCTCCTTCTCCTTCTCCTCCTCCTACATCCCTTCGTCTCATGAATTCATCCTCTCTGTCGCACCCCCAGACGTTTCGGGAGGGCGGGCCGGGCGTTTCGCCTGAGACTTGATCATTCATGGGAAGCACAGAGACAGTATGATACTATATGTCCTTGGAGGCGCGCGTCCGACCCGAACATATAGTATACCCATCTTGTAGTATATCGTTTCCCGAGCGGTGTGGCCAGAAAGCGCCCTTCACGACATATATATTATAAGAGTTCTCGGTGCGCGCGTCGCCCCTGGGAGGGCGACGCACCAGATAGTATGAATATGTTGAGGTGACGCCGAATTTATGATCCTGAGGCTTGACATGCGCAGCAATCTGCAGGATGAAAGGCGGACCATTTTCAAGCATTGGAAATGTAGCTACCGCCTACGCGCCGCGCACAGTCGATCTAAACATTCGCAACAGGTTCAAGGATATAATGAGGCCCGTTTTTGTAAGGTAGCTCTAGGTGCGCACATCCGAGATAGGGTGGAGGGCGGAAAGTGTTCAAAGTGTGTTTCTCGCCTTGGCGCCGCGCACATTCGTCTGACAAGTTTCCAACACTTTCACGTACGTAGTGTGGCCCAAATTCAAAATGTGGCTCTCGCCTTCGCACCGCGCGCATTCGCCAACCAGTTGCAGGATCCAAGGATGTTGAAGTCCCAGGCGTAGCTGTCTGGTACGATTGGGGATGTTGAGGACGCAGCAGCCACGTTGATTCGCGGTACCGAATTTCCAGGACTGTTCTGGAGTGACGTCGGATTGTCAGGATGCAGCCGTCGTGTTGATTCGCAGCGCAGAAGCCCCAGGAATTGCGTTTTGGCACGATCGAGGATTCTCAGACGGTCGTCGTTCAATACAATATTTCCCGAACATGAAAATAACTTGCTGTTCGGACATATGATAAGGCGAATTTGGAGGGAGGGTGTATTGCAAAATTGTTGACGCGTATTGGATTTACACTGCTTCCCCCGCCTCCTCCTCGTTCTCCTTCTCCTCCGCCTCCTCCTCCTCCTCCTCCCTCTCCACCCTCTGCTGTTTTCGCCCTGCCTCCACCATAATGCTACCTCGTTCCACCTTCTCTCTCCTCCACCCTCCGTTTCCTGTCCCTCCCCCTCCTCCTGCTGGAGGACAGGACACTAGGAGGAACTTCCAAGGAACTTCATCATTACCGCCCAAGCGGCCCCAAATCTGCACAATCCTACTGCTCACTGCCAGACCCCCCTACGTTTCCATTCCCCCCCCCCGCTCCCCCTCCCAAGACATCGGCCCCGCCGAACTCTCAACCCCGTCCCGGGATCTGGCTGTTTTTGCCCCGAGCCTCTCGACGGTGGCAGGGCCCAAGACAATGGCGAAGGACGCATGGCACAAATACTTCGGAACGCTAGGTCCACATCGATGACCCGATCGCGGGAAGTCGCCAGAGACTCCAGGAAATCCCTGGAGGCCCTAAAAGGGAAATCCGGAGGACTCCCGAGGCCCAAGGAAGACGAACACGCCCAACATCTTGATCCCTTTTCCTCATCACCACTATGACAGTCAAAAGACGGGAGCAACACTAATGGAGACGATGCTCAGCAACAAGTGTTGTCCAAACCCACAGCGACCGCCGATGGCGAGCAATCCTCGCCAGGACAACGTACGCGGAGGTACCACAAGCGAATCATGCTCGAAATGGATGGACAAGGCCTTCTGCCTCTCTTGGCTGGAGGTGGCTTGCTGGTGGTGGTCTCTCCTCCCTCCAAATGGTAGGGTGGCGGCTACCACCATTTGTTTGCACGGCCAAATACAAGCACCATTCAGCCGTGTCTAACTGAAGATGTTAACAGGCGTGGGCCCCAAACAGTCAAGTATTGCACTGTGGATGTGTATGCAATGTTGTGCAAGCTCTGTAGTGGCAACTGTGTGGCACAGCATACGAGATGCAAGCTAGAGGCGGCAATGAAAACGAGGCGGCAACGAGGCGGCAACGGGAGGCAACGCGGCGAAGCCTCGCAAGACTCATCCAATTCCTCAAGTGCAAGCACTGTTTGGGGAATGTTCTGGCGCCGATCGGATCAATCTCGTAGCGAACAACACTCCCTCGAACAACGGGGCCGCGCTCACGGTCGAGAGTCACTCTGAGTTTCGGGAAACTGGCAGCACTGGGCGGATGCGCGCATGCTGTGCGTGCCGCAGATGTGGCGAAGAGCGAAGGCAATCCGAGTCAGAAGGCTGAACCCTAAACTCCCGACAACCTTTTCGTACCCGGACGGTGGTGGGGATTAGTTGGGTGACTGGGCTGTCGACGATATTTGCCAGCCCAGGTCGTGACTGTGGCGGATGAAAATTGCGCGGGGTCACACGGTCAGCTAGCCACAGGGGGCCAACTCAGCAGGGCCAAGTGAACAGAGGGGCTTCTATTCTCAGCACCATGATCGCCGACAAATATAAGAAGGCCCACAACTGCTGAACAGATCTGTAGTTACCCTGGGGCTTGGCCCGGCCAGAAGTGTTATCTAAAACTGCGACGTCACTTCAGCAGCATCAGCACAATCGAACATCCCGAGCGCGTGCCAGCGAGCCCCCTACGGCCGCGACGCCGGGAGGCGCGCCCCAAAGGGCATTCGGGCATCCAGAGGAGTCTATGCCGTCTACCGCCTCTTTTTTTCGGCACGCTTGCAAGCTAGGCGACGCAATCATGAAGTCACTACGCTGCCTCAAGCGCCGTGCCCACGAGCGGAATAAGCGTCCAACCACGCAGGCAAGCTGTCCTGCGAGCGATGGCTGATATAAACGGTCATTTCCGCTTCTTACAGAAACCTATGATCGTCCGCTCGAGCTCACGATTGGCCATCAGGTGCAGCACCTGCACGCCGTCGCAGTGCGCCTGCAGCTCCTTGGCGGCGGGAAAGGCGGCATCTGTGCACAGCCGCTTCTGCGAGTTCCCCTTCACGGCCTCGCCCTTCACGGTAAGCACGACCAGGGCCCCGGGGCGCAGCAGCTGGAACACGCCCGCCTCCGCGACCACCCTGACTACCGAGGACAGGGCGGGCAACTTCATGTCCGAGACGCAGACGTCGAGCAGGGGCGCCTGCCCGCTCTTCTGGCGCTCGGCGAGCACGCCGACGGCGTCTCGCAGCGTCGTCTGCATGTGCTCGACACCCTCAGCGACTGCGACCTCTGGCCGCAACTGGCAAGGGTCCACCGCGTACACGCGCTGGCAGCCCTTCTCCTCGAGGGCGGGACACATCTCCATATCCACGCCCTCGCGGGCTGGACTCCTCGGTCGCGACTCCATAGGTACAAGGCGATTTCTCGTGGACGCCCCGCGCGGAAAGCATGCACGTGACCGCGTATCCACGGGACCGCGCCCTGGGAATCCAAACCGCGAGGCCACAAATATGGACATGTTCGCCGCTCGTGGGAGGCCATCTGGCCCACGAAGCGGCTGCGCACAGAGGCGTCGCTCGCCGACGTGGCGCTCGCTCTCAGGCTTAGCCCCCGCTAGCCCCATGTATGCATGCCTTCGGGTGGATATGTCTGTCTGCGCAGGTTTTCGGCCTAAGAGCCTATGATGGGCCCATTTTTCCACCACCGCTACTATATGTAGGAGAGGGAGGAGGAGGCTGAGGAGGAGGAGGAGGACCTCCTCATCCCCCCTTCTCTTCCGTCCTACATTGGTAGTGGTGGTGCAAAATTTGCCCATCAGCCTAGCTTGCTGAGAAACGAAAAATCGCCGCTCGTGAGCTCCAGCATGAGCTGGGTCCAGCTCCCGGGCGCGGCGCCGGCGTCCAGCGCGGCGCCTCCAGCCAGGCAGGCCGCCGCCGCCGGCCCGGCCGCCTGCAACGCCTCCGCCAACTTGAAGTAGGCCCGGGAGACGGCATCGCCCGTCCCGCGGCGGCTCGCCATGTGCTCCGCGAGGGCACCGGAGGCCGAGACGCCGGTCAGCCAGACGCCCTTGCACACCTGGACGGCGGCAGCGACCACCTCCTGCCGCGTGGGCACGAGCTCGATCCCCCCCCCGCCGGGCGGCTGCGGCACCGCCGTCTCCAGGGCGCCGAGGAGCGGATCGGTGCTGGACGCGGGGAAGCACGAGAGCCGCACTCTGAGCGGCGAGACTTCACTTGCGGCGGCGCCGCGGACGCTGGCGCGGGCCTCGTCGAGCTGCACTGCCAGGCGGGCGGCAGCGGCCTCCAGGCTGGGCTGGGGCCGCTCCCTGTCGCCGACCCGGTAGAGCTTCTGCAGCACCCACGACAGCCTGCCGTCCTGGGCCAGCCTGTCGACCACGCTGTCGGGGTCCGCGCATCGCAGGCCCATGAGGCGGACCTTGGACGTCGTCGCCGAGGGCGGCGCAAACCTCCAGCACTGCAGCACGTCGCCCTGGGCGCCGTGCTCTGCGACCACGAGGTTGAACAGGCGCTCCAGGTGCGACAGCGGGCACGTCAGGATCACGTTCGGCAGCGGCCCGTCCTCAGGCGCGCGGTCCACCTGGCCGCCCTGGGCGTCCCAATACGCCACCACCGGCAGCCTGGGGCCTCTCTCGCCGGGCCCCTTGTGGGGACGAGGTGTGCCGCCCTCGTGCGCGCCTGGCTGCCTCGCCTGCCTGCCACCGACGGGGCCCCTCCCGGCGCCGGGGCCGCCGTCCCGGAGCCGGCCGCCGCGCGCCCGCAGCAGCAGCAGCGCCCCGCAGAGAAACCCAGCGGCGCCCAGCCACAGCGGCAGCGAGGAGGCGATCCAGGCCCGCGCCTGGGGGGAAGGAGAAGCGACACAATCACCACCACCCGGGGCACCTCCAGTGAGGAGGTATACACTATACAATGCCTCCCCGAGCTGGGATAGGGAACGTCTCGAGCGAGAGGGGGGGGACCCCACCACCAGGGTACCCCCCCCTGGCACCTCCCGCTGGTGGCCTTGGTGGTGGTGTCGCTTCCCAACCCCAGACATGCGACGTCCTGTTGTTTTCAGGACGGCGTCCCCGGAAGTCCCGACCCTTTCCACAGGGCCGGGTTTTCATCCTGTGTAGTTTTTCGACGCTCCGGGGACCGGCGAGGGCCCCCAAGGGCCGAAGCAAACGAAAAACTTGACGCCCGATTGTTTCTCGGCGGCGGGCGAAGGGGGGAAGCGAGAAGGAAAAGGCCTTCTCAGAAGGCTCGGAAGTCCACCGGCCTTCTGAGAAGTTTTCTAAGCCTTCCCCGAAGACACAAGAAACTTCTCAGAAGGTCCGAGGGCTTCAGAGAAGTCCCGCCGCCTTCTGAGAAGGCCTTTTCCTTCTCACTTCCCCCCCTCGCTCCCCGCCGAGATGTTTTACGACGCGATCGTGTCTGGGACGCGCCTGCGCGAGCGCCGACGACACCATCGCGGGCGCCGTGGGCCGTGCCTCCAGAAGAGGCGCCCCCGTCGCTGCCGCCCGCCCCGCGGCGGCGGGCGCCATGTGCTGCGCCTGGCGTTGGGGCAGCGCGCGCGCGCAGGCCTCGCCAGGCTGCGCACCTGCTCAAGCCAGCGGGGCTGGGGACCCAGACCTCCTCGCGTTGTGCTGCGCGCCTGCTCATGCCAGCGGGGCTGGGGGCCCAGACCTCCTCGCGCTGTGGATAAATAGCGACGGGAACGTTCTCGCTATTTTCTGCCTCGGGACCGTCGAACAACGACTCAGGACGAAAAACCGGTCCTGGGGAAGGGGTCCAGACCTCGGGGGGTCGACGTCGTCGAAAAAAACACAACGTCGGGGGTCTGGGGAGGCGGGGAAACCCTGCAGTTCGAGCGAGCTCCATCGGCCCGGAGGCCGTCCCGAGACGGGTGGCGTGCTGGCGCCTCAGCCCCCTCAGTCCCACCAGCCCTTTGGGCGTGAGTGGTTTAGCGAGCTCTCTCTGTTCTCAACCCCCCTTCTTCCCCTTCGGGGAGGGGTTTACCCCTCCCCCTACCCCCTCCCCCTGGACCTGGAGAGGGGGTTTCGCGGGTGGTTGGAGGGGTCTTTTTCGACTCCTGGGAGGGCTAAAAAACGACGACCCTTACGAGGATTCTGGCCCCGACGGGGGGAGGGAGATAGGCCCCTCTGCTCTTCTTTGAAGCCAAAATCATTGATTTTACTACGGTTTTGGCCCCATTTTGGCCTCCTGAGGGGGCCGCGCTCATCTTCCTTCATAGCAAAATCATTGATTTTACGAAGGTTTTGGGCTCATTTTGTCCTTCTCAGGGCGCAGCTCTCATTTGCGCTTCTGAGGAGGTCGCAAGAGGCCCCAAGATGGCCCAAAGAGGCCCTCAGGAGGCTCCCAAGAGGCCTCCAAGAGGCCCCCCAGAGGCCCCCAAGCGGCCCCAAGAGGCCCCCAAGAGGCCCCCAAGAGGCCCCCAAGAGGCCCCCAGAGGCCCCAGGAGGCCCCCAAGAGGCCCCCAAGAGGCCCCCAAGAGGCCCCCAAGAGGCCCCCAGAGGCTCCAAGAGGCCCCCAAGAGGCCCCACGAGGAGCCCGAACGACTCACACCAGGACGAGGGGCCCGAACGACTCACACCACGAAGAGCCCGAACGACTGCTACTGCTACTGCTACTGGTACTGCTACTGCTCGTGCTATTCCTCGTACTGCTTCTCGTACTACCACTACCACTACTCGTAATACTACTGCTGCTACTACTACTACTACTACTACTACTACTACTACTACTACTACTACTTGTACGAGTACTACTACTGGTGTATTGTTACTGGTACTACGACGATTCCTACTTCTACTACATCTAGAGCCACTACTACTACACCTCGGACTTCTCATGTCACCACTCCATCTACTACACCTACACCTGCTACTACTATTATGACTACTACTACTACTACTACTACTACTACTACTACTACTACTACTGCTGCTGCTACTCCTCCTACTACGACACATACTAATACTACTACTACTACTACTACTACTACTACTACTACTACTACTACTACTACTACGACTAGAACTACTACTCCTACTACTACGACTACTACTACTACTACTACCACTACTACTACTACTCCTACTCCTACTACTACTATTCTTACTACTACTACAATACAACTACCACTACTACTACCACCACTGCTACTGCAGCGAAGCATGCCGACCGTGGTGTGCTTCAGGCGTGTCTCCGCGTGCCCTCGCACATATCCCCTGTGTTTTCTTCCTCCTGCCTCTTCTTCTATCTTCCTACATCTATCTTGTTGAGGGAGCCCACGAGGAGGAAGAGGAGGAGGGAGAGAGGGCGATGGGAGCCAAGACAGAAGGCGGTTTTCCTCGAGTCCTACACGCAACCGACTCAGACGACTCACACGACGGCGACCTCTCAGACGATGATGGCGGCGACGACGCCGACGACGACGACGACCATGCTTACGATGACAACGACGACTTCGACGACGACGATTGAATGGAGGACGGCGTCGACGATCCAGCGATCTTTCCCGTCCAGTTCTGCAGTGCGCACGCGGCGCAAGTGACTACCCTGCTCAGGCTCGCAGCTCTGAGCTGCACCTGAAAGGCAGGCTCGCCCATCAAGTCGGGCGCGGGCAGCAGGCGGCAGGTTACGAGGGAGAGGTGGAAGAGGAGCAGAAAGGGAAACTCGCCTCCAAGATCGGTCCCCTCGAACAGATCTGAGGAATCACGGAACTCAGAGTGTGCACGTCCTGGACCAGAATGCAGGTGGTGTGAGTAGTTGGGGCCCCTCGCCCTGGTGCGAGTCGTTCGGGCCCCTCCTTGTGTGAGTCGTTCGGGCCCCTCGCCGAACGACTCACACATCGAGGAGGGGCCCGAACGACTCTGACCAGGGGGGGGGACTTGAACGACTCACACCAGGAGGAGAGCACCGAACGAATCCACTGCACCGTGGTAGCGGCCACATCCACGGATAAAACTGCCTGATCTCCCAGTGTGGCACAGTAGCGATACCACCCATTACTGATGCAGCGGTGTATCACGAGGTACTCCCAGTACTGGACGAGAGACCATCAACCATCTCAGCCCACTGCCGGACACCCGAAGGAACCCTGCAATCAGACTAAGAGGCAATAGCGGCGAGTACGGTAACCAGCACCATCACCTCAGCAGAATAACCAGCACCATTACAGAGTATAGCAGCCCGCACCAGAGAACCCACGAACGACAGCTCAGTTGAGGCAACATCCCGTGTCCCGACTCGCTCTACCCAGAGTCATAGTGGTAAGTAGTGCACTCGACAGTCGTGCAATACAGAGCATACACCATCTGAGCCCAATGCCGCGCGTGATCCTCCAACAAAGTCATACGGGCGTCCAGAAACGCGTGGCTCTCTTGCCTAGTCGGTGCAGGACTGAACCACCACTGAGTACAGAAACCCGCACTCTCACCAGAACAGGGTAACCCGCACCATCACAGAGTACACTAATCAGCACCAGGGAACCCAAGTACGGGGTTCAGCCGAGTGGAGTACAAGTCCCACTAGCAAGCTGCTTCCTATAGTACAGCCCACCTGAAGCGCCACTGACAATGAGTAGAGGCACACATGTTTTCGCACAGGCCTTCGAGCCTGGTCGACTCGGTCGCAGAGCAGGCTGCGGTGCTCAAGGACTGCGAAGAGGACACGCATGTTTTCGCATCGAGCGCTGTATCACAAGGTACTGCCCCCAATGAACCAACACTGAGTCGAGTCACCAGCACCATCACCTGCCAGGGTAACAAACACCCGCACACAGTATAGTAACCACAGATCATGGTAACCAGCACGAGAAAGCTCAAGCACGGTCTCTGCCAGGTTGCCATACCAATTCCTCCAGCGAGATGTTTCCTATATTAGAACTCACCTGCAGCGCCGCGGAAGCAGAGTAGCGGCACATCCACCATTGGATACATACCGAAGTTCCAGCCATGTATACAGGAACCACGGACTCCATTGAGGCAACATCCAATGTCCAGCCTCACTGTACCCAGATATATTTTCTTATAGCAGCGTGAAATCCAAAGTGGTAAGTATGGGCCTCACCAGTACTGGAGGACAGACTACAAACTAATCGTAATCTTCGCACCAATGAACCATCACTGAGTATAATAACCAGCACTTTCACCAGAACATGATAACAAGCACCATCACAGAGTGCAGTAACCATCACCCGAGAAGCAAAGTTCGGGCTTCAGCCGACTACAATACAAGTCTCACCAGCAAACTGTTCCCTATAGTAGAGCCCACCTGAAGCGCACGGGGTTCAGCTGAGTGGAGCACACGTCCCACCGGCAAGCTGTTCACTATTAGTTCAAGCCACCTGAGGCGCCACGGAAAATGAGCAGTGGCACATCCACCATTGGATAGATACCGACGCCGTAGCCATGCATACAGAAACCCCCGATCCCATTGAGGAAACATCTCACTTCAGCCTCACTTCAGCCTCACTAGCCTCACTTTAGTGTCGCCAGTAACAAGTCTGGGCCGAAACCCTCCGCGCCGTACCTCATCGTCCCCAGGCTTTGCTCCACCATTCGGGAATCGGTTGCAACTCGTCCAAGAACTTCCTGTCGTCGGCGGATATCGCTCCGTCGCTGCAAGGCAGACACTTGCCCTTGCGCTTGCTCTTCTGCAGCGCTTGGCGCAGGTGGCGCACTCGTTCGTTCATGTCAGCGACGCACTCCTTGCACTGTAGCTTCTGGCGATTGTGCTGCTTGTGGTTGCGCAGTAGCGTTGGGTGGAATTTACGGGCGCCGAAGCTGCAAGAGCACCTCTGGCACATGTGCGCGGCGAGGTCCGACGGGTCGAACCCTTGCGCACGGCATGCTTTACATGCCAAAGTTGTGCCCCGAGAAGACGCGCGATGCCTGCGTTCCGACTTCGACCAGTACTTCAGCTCATAAGCCGTTGTACACCTTCCGCACCGCAGCTTCGTCTGACAGTCCAGGCACACCAAACGGGCCCTCTCCCGCCTCTTCGCATTCTTCAGCAGTTGCTTGTCGAACGCGAGGCTGCCCAAGTGCTCCAAGCAATCTTCGCACTGGTGCTCGTCGACGTTGCCGGGCGCGAACCCTCGCTCTGCGCAGCCAGGGCACACGAGGTGTCTATCGGAATACTGATGATGCCTCATAATACTCGCGCCCCACACGCCTTCGTCAAAAACATCTTTGCAAGCAGCACACCCGTGGCTCTGCGGGGTCAGGCTCCTCTTCCAGTCATCACGTTCCACACACCGCTTGCATATTGAATGATCTGGCGGGATTCTCGTTGGAGCGCTTCCATCGGCCATCTCTTGGGAAGCCTCGGCCGCCCGCGCAGACCGACAAGGCATTGGGCCGATCTCGCGCGCGCAGCCCATGCATCTCGTCCACCTCCCATGCGACACGTACTTCTCGTAGAAGTCGGCGGCTGCTTTCATGCCGAAGTCGCGAGCGTCGAGCATGTACTCCTGCTTCCCTTTGAGGTAGCAGCAAGCGCACAGGTGCTGCCTCGC